TAATCATCGATATCGGATTCACCAAACCTGGTTGAGTTAATTCCGGTGCTGAAAACGTCGGTCCTGCCATTTGGGTCACTTCAGGACGGGTTGGTGTCGGAATGACTATGATCTCTGGATGTCACTCTCCGTGACTCTGAACTTGCTGAAGCGACTGATCTACGTTGTCGTTGTGCCTGAAATTCGAGTGGCAGTTCGTCAAATATATTTCGTCCCCTACTCTGCATGAGACTGGATGGACCGGGGTCACCATGAGTTCTGCTTCTGTAGTGAGGGATGTATGGTTCCGTCGGGGCTGATGCGTCCGATGTCATTGGTAGGCTTTGAGTGGTCGTCTGCAAACCTGTCCTCCTGGATTCGGGACACAATGACGCCGAGAAGAAGCAAGTCGGAATGCTGGGGACAGGGGTCGTTTCAGGGACGAGCGGTGTGTATGGTATCACTTGAGAGATGACGGTGGGTTGTGATTCCCCGGCGGGTGAGAGGCCCAATGTGAGGGAGATGGGCTCCGTAGTGACAATGGGTGCATCCGTCACCGCCGGAGTGGATTCCAAATCAAGCCTCGTAACCACGAGCATGAGATCGTTTCTTCGGTTACCCCTGGAATTGGATGCGATCGAAACTGCCGACTGAACTTGGGACCAGAGCAGATCGTTTTCTCGCTGGAGATGTGCCATCCTTTCCGCCAATTCCCGATGAAATTCTGCTCGAACTGCCTCCATTTGAGTGTGGATTTCCTCCAACAAGGGGTTGTTTCCGGTCGTGATTGATGATCTTTCTCTTGCACGATGCCCCACGGTGGGCGCCAAATTGTTTAAGCAAGAATTAACAATCAAATTATATGAAAAGGGAATCGTGCAAGTAACCTCTTGAAGAACAAATAGATGCAAATTTGTTTTGATATATGATGTTTAAATGTGAGTACAAGGAGTAATAGTAGATTGTTTTCTCAGAATTCATCCTCGCTTTCCCTTCTTCCCTAAGCTATTTATATTTTTTCCAACTTTATTTCCTAACGTGGGCTCCGGATCTTTTGGCGAAATCTCATCCGGCCTACTAATGTGGAGTTTGTTCCTTGACTTCCTCCACCAGCTATCAGCATCCTTATCCGTTCCGTCACATTACTCAATTGAACTGGACTCTCTAAAATGGACTGGCCGTCCTTTGATGTTAACAAAATCCCTACAGCAACGTGGGCCGGTCCGCTTGACAAATCCAGGCCCAACACACCCTAGCTACTTTAAGTTTCAATTTCTTGTGTTTAACTAGCATAGTACCCGTGCATACGCACGGAAAAAACGGTTGATCTATATATACTTTTATTCACGATCTAATTAAATATAAAAATAGATTTTTTTATTACAATTTACTTCATTTCAAAAATAGAGTATGATAAGTGAATATAAAAAAGCATAAATCCATACAACAAATATTCAAAGCAAAAGAAAATTAAAACAATACATATGAGAGAGAAAATTCTTCCATTGAATTGTTAGCTTCTTTTCTTTTACCTAAAAGCACTACGTATGAGGGGCAAAATCCTTCTGGTCCAATTTTAGCTGACTTATCTTTTTATATATAAAAGCACTGCAGATGAGGAACAAAATTCTCCGGCTTAAATTTTAGCAGGCTTATTTTGTGCCTAAAAACACTATGTATGAGAGAGAAAATTCTCGTGCTCGAGTTTAAGCCGGCTTATCTTCTTATAACTAAAACCTCTACAAATGAGAGAGAATTTTGCCGTTCAATTGTTTAAGCCGGCTTATTTTTTACCTATACTTCTCATACATAATCTTCTTTATTATTGTTATACCTAAAAGCATTACGTGTGAGAGAGAAAATTTCCCCGCTCAATTGTTTTAGTCGGCCTATCTTATAATTAAAAGCACTATGTATGGGGAAGAAAATTCATCCGCTCAATTTTTAGCCGGCTTATGAGCTTATCTTATAATCAAAACCACTTCTACGTATGAGAGAGAAAATTCTCGCGTTCAAGTTTTAGCCGGTTTATCTTCTTATATACCTAAATCACTACGTATGACAGAGAAAATTCTCCTGCTCAATTGTTTTCGCCGAATTATCTCATATACCTAATATAAAAGCACTACGTATGAGAGAGAAACATCTCCCGTTGAATTGTTTGACGTCTTATCTTATAGTCCCTTCGGTCCTTAATGAAGTTTACACTTTGACTTCACACATATTAAGGAAATAATTAAATTTGACTTTACTGTAGAGTACACTGTTTGACACTATTTGGTGTAGATTTGTTTGTCAAATAAGGCAAATAAGGAAGTGTAAAGTTTAATATGGGACGGCCCAAAAAGTAAAGTGTAAAGTTAATTAAAGACCGGAGGGAGTTCCTAAAAGTACAACATATGAGACTGAAAATTCTCTTGCTCAAGTTTTAATCGACTTGTCATTTTTTTTAAATTTTTTATATGCAATATTGGTGTCATATGAAAGATCGTAAAAAATTATGAATTTTGATATACTTTTTATAAAAATTAGATAAAAGATGAAAAAGTTATAACACTTTGAAAGAATTGTGCTTTTTTATGCATTGGCCCCCACAAATTGATGCCATGTTTCATAGTATATAAATGCTCACCTTCATTTGCTTTTATTATTAGTTGTTCCTTAATGCCCTTGATTTAATTTGCCATATGTCATTTGTATAAAAAAGGAGTGAATTGTGGAAAGAAAATTCTTCCGCTCAATTGTTAGTCGGCTTATCATATTCTTATACCTAAAAACAATACATATGAGAGAGAAATTTCTTCCTTTCAATTGTTAGTCCACTTATCTTATATTAAAAAGAACTACATGTGAGAGAGAAAGCTTTCACACACAACTATTAGCAAGCTTATCTTGTAAGACCTAAAAGTACTAAGTATGAGAGAAAAATTTCACCGTTCAATTGTTAGTGAACGTGTCTTCTTATACCTAAAAGCACTACATATGAGAGAGAAAGTTCTTCCGTTCAATTGTTAGCCGACTTATCTTATAATTAAATGAACCGTTTATGAGAGATCAAGTTCTCTCACTCAATTGTTAGCAAGCTTATCTTCTGATACCTAAAAGTGCTACATGTGAGAAAGAAAATTTTTCCGTTCAATTGTTAGTCGACTTATCTTACCTAAAAGCCGCAAATTATACCGTATGACCGGTATACAGTGAGCACCGTATACCGGTATACGGACTTCTTTATTTTTTTTCCTTTTGTTTTTAAAAAATGGTAATAACTTTTTTATTTTTGATCCGATTTTTATAAAATTTATATCAACATTTTTTATTTTTCATGATCTTTCAAATGAGACCAATATTGCTTATGTAATTTTAAGAAATTATCGAACTATTATATTAATGAGTATTGGATTATAAGGAAAATTGAACTAAATTTAATACAGAAAAATAATTGTGTAAATCACAATTTATCTTAAAATTGTGTATATAAAAAATTTATTTTATTATGTATTTATACATGTGAGTTACATATTTTTATACGTAAAGTTACATATTTGTACACGTAAAGTTACATATTTATACACACGAGTTGCATTTGGCTTGCCTGAACGTGAGTTACATATTTTTACACGTAAAGTTACATGCATATTTTTACACGTAAAGTTACATATTTATACACGCGAGTTACATATTTATACACACGAGTTTTATTTGACCTGTCTGAACGCGAGTTACATGTTTTTACACGTAAAGTTACATATTTTTACACGTAGAGTTACATATTTATACACACGCGTTGCATTTGGCCTGACTGGACGTGAGAGAGAGAATTTACAATGACAATACTAACATTTATGAAATTTCATTTTTTAAAAAAAAATTACAGAAACAATGAAAGCATTAATAAACCTTCATATATTTTTAAAATTTTATATATTGAAATTTGATGTCATATGAAAGATTGTTAAAAATAATGAATTTTGATATACTTTTTATATCATGAATTATTTTCTTTATTTAATACAGAACATTCTGTATTGAGGTTGGAAAGTAGGAAGATTTTTAATAATCCTTCATTTTTTCTTAAATTTTATATATCCAATTTTGGTGTCATATGAAAGATCGTAAAAAATTATGGATTTTGATATAGTTTTTATAAAAAATTAGATAAATGCTAAAAAAGTTATAACACTTGGAAAAAATCTAATACATATTTTCTAATGGGGATACTCTAATATCCTAATAAGCCTAGCATCATCAAAATCTAAATACAATTATTTCTTACAAATTTTATATATGTATTATTGGTGTCATATGAAAGATCGTAAAAAATTATGAATTTTGGTATATGTTTTATAAAAATCAGAGAAAAACTGAAAACGTTATAACACTTTAAAGAAAATGGAATTTTTTTATATAATGAGCCCCATTAATTAATTGATCCCACGTTTTTTGTTCAAATAGAAATTCAAATAGAAAGCCAGTGAGTTAGTTTTGGTGAGTTGGTTTAGAAAGCCATGTGGCATTTTTATAGGAAATGAGCAAATTGTGGAGAGATGGACACATAAGATTCATTAAGGTCATAATTGTATTTTAATGAGCTATTTCTTTTCTTATATATAAATAGAAAAAACTTTATAACACTTTAAAGAAAATGGAATTTTTTTATATAATGAGCCCCATTAATTAATTGATCCCACGTTTTTTGTTCAAATAGAAATTCAAATAGAAAGTCCGTGAGTTAGTTTTGGTGAGTTGGTTTAGAAAGCCATGTGACATTTTTATAGGAAATGAGTAAATTGTGGAGAGATGGACACTTAGGATTCATTAAGGTCATAATTGTATTTTAATGAACTATTTCTTTTCTTATACATAAATAGATTATATTATAATCAGAGAACAAAAGCTATGAGTAACTTCTCTGAATTTGGTGAACATGATCATTTTAACTTTTTCTATACAATTTTGTTATTATTATAAGAAAAATTACCCAAAATAGAACTAAAAATGTTTGTATATTTCAAAATAAGAATGGGATAATAATGTTAGAGTTAATTACCAAAATAGGAATAAAAGTCACTCACTTTGCACAAATAGGACAAAAAAACTATGTTTTCATAGGACTAATTATGTGTGTCTTGGACAAATATACCCTTATTGCAAACAATTTTAGTCCTATTTTGGTAATTAACTCTAACATTATTTTTTGTAGTCAATATATAATTTCTTGCTAGATTTTATCATTAGAGGTACGTAGATTAAAAGTGTTCGTAGAAGAAATCCTCAAAAGCTTCGACGTATTGTTGTTGCAAGCAGAGCAGTACTCGTAACGTCCCGTCATCGCCGTTGCTGTTGTCGTCGCCGTCGCCGGAAAGAGGCATAATAAAGGATTTGCCATCTCCACGTACAAGTCCAGGTCCCATATATACCTCCTTCCCCCATCCGAAATCCGTCCTATGGAGGGGAAGATTAATCCAGCTTGTGATCGTCATGTTAGGGTTTCCATAAAATTCGGCCACATCTGGGATCTGAGTAGCCATTGCTAAGTTCTTCCTGCATTTTAATTAAGCGTCATCCAATCATCATATATGTACATATTGGCTAAATCACTTTAATGAAATTATTTTATTTTTGAAATTCATTGATTTCATGAATAATGTATACATGCATCATTGTTGTAAAAGTTAAAACCTCCTATTGAACTATATTAGAGTACATGTAATATACTACGTAGTTACTTGTTAAAGATACACTAATTCATACGGAATATAAATTACGAAGTACTCCGTATTAAATAAATCCTCTACCACATACCCCCAAATTATCGTTTCCATTTAAAGTAATATATATGTATTTAAAGTTATTTTTCCCTCTACATAAACATCAATCACACAATTTTTACTTTCACAATTCGTATTTCACATGAAAGTCAAATATGGTCAAGTTTTATGGGGGAGTATCAATTATTATTTTCGTTGTACTTTATGCAATGTTTATATCCTGATTTATCGTGCTAAATATAATGCAATGCTCAATTTTTGGGTTTGAAAATTAGGACATTCCATTTTTCTAACTTTAGAGCCCGTTTGATAACACTGAAATTGGCTAAATCGATTGATTTGCTGAAATTTATGAAGCACTAACTAAATTGGTTGATTCTGTTGATTTACGAACAAAATATTTAAAATACTTTTATAAATAAAATAAATAAAAAATTATATGAAAGAATAGCTAAAATGATCATGTGTAGTAACTTCAGCCACTACAGCAAAAAAGTAACTATAATCTTACTTTTTCTTGTTATTATACAATTCAGCGCACAAAATCAAATGTTACGTGTGTGGTAAAAAAGTTCGATGATAAGCCAAAAAACAGGCTCACCAAACATACTATTATTATGTTATGTCTATTAATTAAATTTGCTTGTGTATGCTTTTAATATTATTTATCTAACAATTTTGTTTATATCTATTGTATATATCCTTGTTTTTCTAATATTTAATTTGTAACCTATAACTATTAATTAGACTTGTAATTGATCATTGATTGTTATTAACTATTGAATATTAAATAATGCTTCATTAATTGTGACAACAAATTTTCACTTCTTTTGGCTCCAAATAGATTTCTAATTGATTTTCCACCATATGGTCTTTATATATATAAAGATAAAGATAATAATAGAAATGCACTATCATCATTAACAATTTAACATATTAACACTTTCGGTTAAAAATTCTCGTTACTTGAAAAAATTCTCAACACTTTCGAATATACTTTGAGAAATAATTTCGATCGATATATAACATAATGAACTCATTAATGATAATTGTGATCCGTAGCGGAGGTAGATGGTCATAATAGGCCCCTATTCACCCCACATTTAAAAAAACTTTAATTATTAGTCTAAAAAATTGTGTAAAAATATTTCAAAAAAAATCTTTTTGCCCGGCCAACCTAGCCCCATGCCATGACAACGCATTGAATGTACAGTAAATATAATTTAAGAGTTGATTATTTTCTAAAATATAAATTGGAATCTTTAGTTGGAATGTATAGAGGTGGGCATATCGATTTTCTGTTCAGTTTTCATAGATTTTGATTCGATTTGGAACGGATGAGAAGATTTATATATTACCAAACAAAAATCATACGTACTAATTTTTGGATTGGTTCGTTCCATTTAGTTCAGTTCAGATTTGTAATTTTTTTATTAAGTTATGAAGGTTTTTTGAATTTCTTTAGTTCGATTTTGTTCAGTTTTCTCGGTTTCGATTCGATTCAGTTTAATATGATTTGAAACAAATACTACCAAAATGAAATCTAAATACATGTGATCCGATTTCGAATTTGATAGAATTCGGCTTAAACCAACTCAATATGCTCATATTAGTCATATGCCGCCCTATAATATACGGAGTATAGTGGATCAGTATCTTGCTCCATCATCCTTGAATAATTGTCAAGTACAAATAAAGTTGTAGAAGAGACAAACATTTGCATACTTGTCCTCCAGTTATTACGCTCTTGATAGTTTTACCTTTTACTCCCCTCCTCAAAGTTGACTTTTATATAGATTAATAAAGTAAAAATTGTGTGTTTGAAATTTGTGGAGAGGGGAGAGAAATAAATTTAGGCACATATCATTTACTTTAAATGGAAACTAGGATAGAACCCGTGCATACGCACGAGATATAGTAGTTGGTGCATATATTTTTACTCATGGTCTAATTAAATATTAAATTAAAAATAACTTTTTAAGATTCAACATTTTGGAGAGAGAAAAAGAGTACAGTAAATTAATACTTCGTATCATAAAGTATAAGTCATACAATAAATATATAATGAAGAGTATATTAGGAAAAATTAATTGCAACCACTCATTAGAAAATGTTATCTATTAATTTTCCTGATTAAATTAATTTTAAAATTAAATACAAGTCTAAAAAAAGTAAGTACAATAAGTGATCGAATGACACAAAGTTTAAGTAAATATATACAACAAATATTAATATTAACGAATATTAGTTAAATAAAAACTTGCTAATCATTACTTAAAATAGTGCTAACATATGAGAGAGAACTACATATAAGAAACAAAATTATCCCGCTCAATTGTTAGGAAAATTATTTTCTAATACCTAAAAACACTACATATGAGAGTAAAAATTATTCCGCTCAATTCCCCTGCTCAATTATTAGCAAACTTATCTTTTATAAAACCTAAAAGCCCTACACATGATAGAGAAATTGCTCACGTTCAATTATTAGCAAGCTTATCTGGTTATACCTTAAACCACTACATATGAGAGAGAAACTTCTCTGGCTCAATTGTTAGTCGGCTCATCTTAGAAAATTTTCGTGCTCCATTGTTAGAAAACTTATTTTCTAATACCTAAAAGCACTACATATGAGAGAGAAAATTATCCTGCTCAATTCTCCTGCTTAATTGTTAGCAATCTTATCTTTTAATACCTAAAAATACTACATGTGATAAAAGAAATTTCTCCCACTCAATTATTAGCAAGTTTATCTTCTTATACATAAAATCACTACATATGATAGGGAAACTTCTCTCGCTCAATTGTTAGCCGATTTATTTTATATCTAAAAGCACTACATATGAAGAAACAATTACACCGTTCAATTGTTAGTGAGTTTAACTTCTATAATATATATATATATATATATATATATATATATATATATATATATATATATATATATATATATATATATATATATATATATATAATACCTAAAAGCACTACATATGAGAGAGAAAATTATCCCGCTCAATTCCCCTGCTCATTTGTTAGCAAGTTTGTCTTCTAATACCAAAAAACACTACATATGATAGGGAAATTCTCCCGATCAATTATTAGCAAGCTTATCTTCTTATTCTTAAAACCACTACATGTGAGAGAGAGAAATATCTCGCTCAATTGTTAGTCGGCTTATCTTATACAGTTATACCTAAAAGCACAACATATGAGAGAGAACTTTTCCGCTCAACTTTTAGCCAACGTATCTTATACTTAAAAGAACTACATATAGAGAGAAAGTTTTTCCGCTCAATTGTTAGTAAGCTTATCTCCTAATACCTAAAATCACAACATATGAGAGAAAAGTATTTCACTCAATAGCTAGCAAGCTTATCTTCTAATACCTAAAAATAGTACTGTACATATGATGATAGAGAAAATTCTCTTGTTCAATTATTAGCAAGTTTATGATCTTATAACTAAAACCTCCACATGGGAGATATCTTCCAACATTAGCACTATTTCAACATTGGCATTATCTTAACGTGACGACAAATCAAACCAGACAAAAATAATAGTAGAATTGACATTAGTCCAGCTAACAAAAAACTTAGAGTATGCTTCTAGTTATATATACCACATTTGCATGTGAAGTAATTAATCTGCGTTCTGGCCTTTCTAGTGCACATGGAGCAAGCTTCATAGCTCCATTCCCTTTCTCCAACTATAAACTTTGCAACTCTCCCAATTGCGACATGCACATAATTATTTTCTATAGAATAATATGAGATATTTCATATTTAATTAAATTGCTAACGCCTTGTTACATACGTAATAAACAACAAAAGAGTATCATAAATGATAAAAAAAGTAAGTTTGATATAAAGAGTATCATAAATGATATTACCTCCATCCCGTTGGAAGGTTCTCATAGTAAAACGGCACAGTTATTTAGATAATAATTAAATAAAGTATTTCGAGTATTTTTTAGAAATAATTTTTACAGGTATATATCATAATGTAGTTAGTATTGATAATTGTGATGTTATAAATGTATTATTTTTAATATTTAATGATTAATTTGTCACTTAAGATTCTTAATTGTTTCCTAAAATGGAAATGACAACCTTTTATATGGGACGTTCAAAAAAGAAAAGTGTGAACCTTCTATTGGACATTTGGAAGTAATATTTAAGAAAGAGCATAGATTTTTCAAATAAGCATAATACTTCCATCCCATGAGTAGACAATTTTTAATGGGACGGAGAGTGTGATATAAAATATATTCCATAATATCATTCGTAATAGAAAATAAAATGTGTACGAAGTACGTATGTTGCCTACAGAAGTTTTGACAAAACAGAATTTAATATTAATGGAGTATTCGTATTTTTAAAATCATAACGTCCAAAAAAAAATTTACAATACATTAATAAATAAAGTATAATCAAAGTATAATATGTAAATATTATAAACCTAGCAGAAAATGTCGCATCTATTTAAAAACGTGGTAGTATACAGAAAGTTGTTGACGTTTATCTTGGTAAATACAAAAATGAACTTTTTGTATAACTTTAAATATATGTATAGTCACTAATAGTTAATAACTCTTATTTTTATCAACTATTCTTATTTTGCTCATATATTATGAATTATTTATTAATTAAATACCGAATAATCCGTGTTGAGGTTGGCAAATAGAAGTATTGCTTAATAAACTTTTTCTGATTTTTTTAAATTTTATATATGCAATAATATTGGTGTCAATTGAAAGAAAATAAAAAATTA